GCAGAGGTGTTTTCGTCTAGTATATCGGAGCCCGAAACATTGCGGTCAGGGACGGGGTTTGTGTCGCCCGTATTCTTTCCATCGCTGATTGGTTTTGTGACATCTGTGGAATGAAGTCGGCGCCAAGGTTGATGCTGAAGCAAATGACGGATGATCAAGGCCGTTTTGGTGGAAAGTAGCGAGGGGACTATCACAGGATCTGGTGAGGAAGAACATCGACGTAAAATGATAATTATTTGTGAATCATCTAGTAAATCAATATAAACAACTGGTCAGCCCTCGTGTAAGTAAAACTGGAGTACCACATGTGTTTTCGACTGATGATAGGTAGATGAACTGTATACATAAAGATGGAATCCGAACTAGGAACGATCAAAATAATCCAATGCAAAATACTGGAAGCAAGCAACTATGCATGCTCATGTACAGGATTTCTTGAATTAATTCAATTTCCAAGGGTGTGATTGGGAACAAAAAGGAAAAAGTGTAGTCTGAGCGAGACTGTGTAACGCGAAAACAAAACAATTCTGGGTTTAAAAGATGGCAACGTGCCACACTTGTGCTACTGACCATTGGGAATGCGATGGAGCTATGGCAGAAGAAACCAGATTTTCAGACAGACAGACAGACAGACAGACGAGACAGGTTATGGCACACAATCTGATTAACTAATTCGTTTCAGTATGTGCCACCGTGAAATTTCGGAAGAACTTGAATCCTTTGTACCACATCATGACAAAATGATGCTAGGAAAATATCGAAAAGTCGATCCGCCATGTGTTGTTTTATTGTGGATGTTAATGTTAGTGTTAATGACAGCGATGTCGGTAGAGAATTATATTCGCCGACGTTTCGGTTACCGTGGGTAACCTTTCTCAAGGCAGGTTTTACAATCAAATGACTCCGAGGAAAGGATCACAAGTTAACGAGTATTTCATCGTGTGTGTTTGTCTGTGTGTGGTGGACTGAGTGGTTCGTTGTCCGTCATACTAATTCCCATTATCAGATGGGGTCAAGTGGCACCGTGACCTTTGTCGTGATTGCGCGTTAGGGATGTTAGGGTAGTCCAAATGCTCGGGATATCGATTCTGTCATTTCTGTTGACACATGCAGAGTGGCTGTTAATGGCCAAAGCATCGGCATACGAGCGTTCAGTGCATGTTCGAAATTCGATTTGGAGTATTTTTGGGTTGTCGTAGTCTATAGTGTGACCTTCGGCTAGGGCGTGAAGAGCGATCGCTGAGTCTCGTTCTAGTTTTGCCAGAGTTGCTTGGTCCGTCGGTCGATGTTTTTCTTTTCGCTTGTGTTCCGTTATTCTTGTCTTGAGTTGTCTGCTGGTTTGTCCAATGTATTCTGCGGGGCATTCTTTACAACTGATTTTGTAAATGCAATTGTTTTTATCTTGCAATTCGACCGGATCTTTGGCTTTCAAGAGATGGCGTTTCAGAGTGTTGTCAACCCGAAAGAATGTTTGTATGTTGAAATCGCCGAGAATCTTTCTGATTGCTTCTGAAGTGCCTGATCTATATGGAATGCTAATAGAGGCTACACGGTCTTTTCTGTCATTGGGTTGTATCATTGGTTTGTTGGCCTCCAACTGGGATCTTATCAGGAGTGGCGGATAATAATTGTCATTTAGCACTTTATCGAGACGTTTCATTTTCATTTGTCTTCATCACAGAGCTTTTTGATCTGGTCAGCCAGAGAGGAGATATGGGTCCGTTTTAGACATTGTGGATGAGCTGATTGAAAATGTAAAAGTTTATCCGAATGTGTCGGTTTTCTGTGAACGCTGGTGAATTTGCATGACTCGTTCACCCTGAGGTGACAGTCTAGAGAAGTGATGATTCTGTTCATATCCTCTGATGGAGTTGCACTGTTTATTGAGACAATCGAGAAACGCATGTGTGTGTTGTGACTTATTGATGACAAAAGTATCGTCTACGTGTCTTACGTACAAACGTCGTGGCATATGAAAACTGGAGAGTGCATTTTATTCTATTGAATGTAAGAAGAGGTTGGCTAAAATGGGAGAGATGGGAGATACCATGGAAACACCATTGGTTTGTCTGTACAAATCGTGTTCGAAAGTAAATAAAGTTGACATTAGACAAATTTCTACATCAGTAATAATCTCTGATGGGGTTAAAAAAGTTCGAACTCCAAGTGTGGCATCAGATATCAGCAAAGAATATAGAAAATCTAAACTCTCTTTTATAACAACCAGGGGTCTCCGTTATAATAGTTGCGTTGGGTTTCCCATTTAAACATATGGGGATCAGTCTAATCGGCTGTCAAGGAGGAGGGATAGGACCGACTGCTGTAAAAGTGATGGTCTTCCGTCTACCCAATTTCTCTCTCTCTCCATACACACACACACATATATATATATATATACATATATATATATATATATATAAACAAAAATAAAACGGGACAGGTGGATTGGGGTACAGAGCAGAGTGAAAAGATGGTGAGACATTTGGATATTTCTGTGTTGTTTGTTGTTTTTTACGGAGCACGGGATTTCGACAGGCAGCCCGTACAGCATTCGCGCCACTGACTTCTATTCTGGGCCGTATCTCTCAATGTCTCTAACCAACGACAATCCTCATCCCTTGAACCCCAACCTGGAAGGTGGGCTGCACCAACCGAAACCAAAGCTGCAGACAACTTCTTCATGCCTCTAGTCCATGTCATGGTCTGACCACCGCGGCGCTTCTTCAAGCCTTGCCCGGAACGTGCAAAGAGAGCACGGAAAGGACAGGCATACTCAATACGCGACCAAGCAATCGGAGGCAGTGTAAAGCGATTACCTCTGTTAGAGGACGAATATCCGCACTCAACACACGACGATGAACCTCATCATTACTCACCCGGTTTTCCCACCGGACACGAGCAATGCTTCGGAGACATCGGTGGTCGAATACAGAAGGTCGATTAGCATCCTCAACGCGGGGGGGGGGGGGGGGGGTCNAACGCGGGGGGGGGGGGGGCAGGTCTCGCCCCCGTAAAGGAGAACGCTACCAACCGCGGCGATGTACATACACCCTTCCCTTAAGGGACAGTCGGATGTCATGGCGGTGCCACAGGTGTCGCAGGTTGGTAAAAGCTGCTCTAGCTTTTGCTATTCGTGATATGATCTCCTCCCCAACACCAACACCAGCCGCGATCAAGCTCCCGAGGCACTTAAAGCTCTCAACTACTTTCAGCTGTTCACCACAGATGGTGAGTGCAGGCACAGGCTCCTGCCAGTCTTGAACAAGCACTTTGCACTTGGGTGGTGCAAAGCACATACCACACCTGGATACCTCTATCGCCAAGCGGTTCAAAGCGTTTTCGACTGCTTGTGTGTTGGCACTAAGCGAGGCGATGTCATCGGCATATTCCAATTCAAGAACTCTGTTCCCTGGAAGGAGTTCAACTCCACCGTTTGCTAGACCGGGAAAAGCATTCTGTAGAACATCCTCTATAGCGAAGTTGAAAAGAAATGGGGATATAGGGCAGCCTTGTCGAACTCCACTGGAGACGGCGAACGGGGGTGGAAGTTGGCCATAAGCCCTAACTCGACCTGAGGTATGACGATACAACTCTTTGAGGATCGAAACATACCTCTAAGGTACTCCATTCCTCAACAAACAGCACCACAGTGTGGTCCTATCGATAGAGTCGAAGGTCGCATGGATATCTGAGAATACAGTGATCGCTGGCCTTTGGTAGGCATGACAGTTCGCTAGCAGTTGTCGGAGGGTGAAGATTTGATCGATGCAGCCACAACCGGCACGAAACCCAGTCTACTTTTCGCAGATCGTTTCGCTCACACCCAAGGCTTTCCTACTGGTGACCCGGATGAGCCTACGGAAATTACGCATAGAGGCGGCACGTTCCATCTGTAATGCGTATGGTAAAATGAATCGTTGACCGCATCGGGGCTGCAGTCCTTCGGGGCGTTCGCCGACACGACAAACAAGTTTCGCCTATCGGGGCGACGGCTGCTTAGTTTGCACGATCCCCTGAGTCTCGCTGCGCATAGCTTACTGTCGACTGGGATTCAATCCAGGAGGGCGGCCTCAGCTCCCTCACTGAGAGCTACGCCGAAGCCAACAACACCGGAAGCAGCAGCCTCAGGGTCCCCAGGGAGGCGTAAGTGAAACTTTACAGATTGGTTAGATGGAGACGTCAATCAGATAATGGAGCCGGAGTCTTGAATGCGAGTCTCTTGGATGCAACACACACCGATGACTAGGGTTTCGAGCGTACGAGCTAAACACACCTGATGTCCTATACGCATCAGAGTACGCACATTAAGTGTGGCTGGTTTGAAAGGACGTCGAGGGCGGAGAAGGGCTTCAGCTGGTGAAGGATTCGGTGAGACTTGGACATTAGTCGAGGTAGGACAAGAGCGGACAGCGGCAGAATTTCCGCCCGAGGCACTACTACTAGTACGACGGAATAGAGTTGGGATGGTAGGGATGAGGTGGGGGGAGGCTGGAAGGACAAAAGGATGTGTACGGAGTAGAAAGTCTTTCGATTAATGAAGGTTTAGAGTGCAAAATCATAAGAGCGAGAACGTTCATAGTTGTCTGCGTTGTGGGCTATGGTACTACTCGGTCGCCCAGTCCAGCGGAGGCCTTGTTCGAGGATGCACTCTAGCCTTTGCGCAACGAAGTGCGGACTGCAAGGCAGCAGTGATGTTCCAGATGAGCCGGTGACCGGGTTTTGGTTCATTCACCCTTTCTGGAAAACCTTGTCGGGCAAAGGAACTCGACAAGGGGTACGGTCATATTTAGTGGCGGGCCACACTCGCCACGTCACAGCTCTGTCCACAGATATTTGTGGTGTTTTCTGCGGAGAACCCTTGCCAAGAGTTGAACCCATCAAATCCTCGAGCGCTGCCGCTGATCGTCCGCGACCGCTTATTCGGAGGGCCGAAGCCCACCTTATTCACGGTTAACTACTAATTGACGACCGCTCCCCTATCCGCAACCTGGGGACGCGCTCGGTAGCATACAGCTCTACTCTCACGAGGCCCAGTTTCTCTGCATATATTTGGTCCAACTGAATTCATAATAGATATTCGTTTTGGTATTATTCCGGGCCTATACTTCTTTCGTCAACTCCTTCAATGTTGTTCAACCAAACTGATCACATAAATATGTGGGTGGGCTTAATGACTGTACAAAGTCAAGGTAATCACGATCGGATTATTGTGTTCCAAGGGAAGGAAGGTTCAACAGTCAAATTCATCGGGACGAAAACGTGCGTTCGTCTAGAGAGAGCGTGATTTCTCAGGGAGTGCACCCCGAGGAGGAAATATTATATATGTACAATTAAAGTTTCGAATACAGTACGTTATTACCTAACGGTTGGAATTCATTAGAATTATTGCATAGCATCAAAAAGAATCTATAAGATGCTTGCTCTACGTACTTTGAGAATCAACTCGGTCCGGTATGGCGCTACTTCCGAAAAATTTTGTGATCGGTTGTTCTGAATTCGATGTCATATTCGACATCGGACTGGTGGAGGTCAAGATGGTCATCTCCGAACCGGATTCACCAGTCTGTGCCAAACGCAATGCCCCATCAGCGCCCAGAATCAGACAGAAGACTGGATCGGAAGGAGCCGAAATAGGGAAAGCCCAATCCGCGCTGATCAGACACCGCTGAAGTTGTTCGCCAAATCGAGCCATGCAAATTAGGATCATCTGGAAAGGAAAATAACGCGCACGCACACACACACAGATACAGTGACTTGAAATTCGGTCCGGATCACATGACACGTGAAACAAATGAGTCGATTATATTGTGGGTGAGATGGAATTAATAGAAACCTCTGTACTACCTTCCGGCGATCACAGGCGCCGATATAACTTTGATTTGCAAGCATCCTTTGTAGCAAGAATACTAATATTTCACAATTTCAACATAAGACTTTAATCTGCCAAACAACCATTGGAACAATAATAACTTGATTTTATTGATTCAGTGCATCATCGGAAAATAACCACGCAGCACTTACGCAGGGCAATGTCACCTCAAAGCGAAGTTCTTCCCCATACTTATATTCTACGTATATTAGTGACTTTTCTGCTAGCGTCCCTACTTCTTTCTTCAAATACGCTGACGATGTGGTTTTATATCAGGCCATCTCCGATTCTTCTGATTTTTCGAAATTTTCTGATAGCTTAGAAAACATTCAACAATATTCCACATCCGACTGTTCTCCTAATCTCTCAAAATTTTTCCGATATTTTGTTACATTTCCCATCTGAACCGGTATCGACTAGATCTGAACCAGTATCCCGGGTAAGCTGTATGAAAATACCTGGGGTTTTTCAGTGATGATAATCTTCATTAGGACGCTCACATTTAACACATCGTTAGTAAGCTTCCACGACTTTTTTCACACCCGTTAACTTCGTCAGTTTCGTATTCAACAAGCAATTACTTTCAACTTTGTTTACCAGTGTGTTTTCCCAGTTTTACTTTATTGCTTACCTCTTACTTTTTTCCAATCTCCTAAGAAAATATTTTAAGTTGCTTCGACATGGACTGATCATCATTATCCGTGTCTCTTTAATCCCGCTGGAGGAGTTGGTAACAAACCAGTACGAAAGTAAGTTGAATGCATAAGATTCCTATCGACTCCACACATCCGCTACATGCAGATTCAACCTCTTGTTGTTTTCATCCGTCAACTAAATCCCAACACCTTTGTAGTTCATCCCGAATATATATATAATAAGTAGTATGTGAATGACTGGACAAAATTTCCCTGGAAGCACACGATCAGTCTCGCGGTTCTTGCCGCTCGTCAGGCGTGCGTATCCGGTAATCTTTTGTCAGTACATTCATATACTTGTACTCAGGAAGCGTCACAATAACCTTGTTTGAAACACCGGGTAACCATTGGATTGACAGCTCTTTTGGAGCCAGTCCAATGAAGAATCAATGCTATGAATCGATGTTATATACATACATACATATATATATATATATATACTGTAACTCTACGGTAATCTCATTAGTATGTACTCGAGTTGTGAAAGAACAGGTTTTCACATACTTTGTTAACAGTTTTGAGAACCAAACGTTTTCTTCTTTACTTCCCCTATCCAGTTTGTATATTTTTAAATGGAATGTCGGCTTTGGGCCTACAGAAGTTATTACAGTAAACAATAACATGATTAAATGCTTGTGAACGATTCACCTACGACAACGGTGACGAAAGTAGCTCTCTGGATACATTAACTTAACTTGCAGACGAATTAAGGGGCGATTGAAAATGCCGTCATTGTCAATTTTCGGCAAAGAGTATAAATCAAACGGAAACTGTGGAATTGGAAGGGCACAAAGCCCCATTTGGCAGTAATCATATCGTGATGCATCATCAGCCGGGAGAACACACCGCGCACACCCAAAGTGAACAATGGAAATGAAAGACCCAACACGTTACAGATTCCTTTAGCCTAGGATATAGCCTGAGCGCTATAAAAATGGACAGTAACACACAATACGAAGAGGTTGAAACATTAGATAGTTACGAGCTTGAAATGAGGCACAAAAGGGGTGCGAATGATTAAAAGCAAGAACAAAGATCGCAGCAATCGATGTTGGGCTATGATCGAATTCATCAACTACTGGCAATTCACCTAGGGAAGAAGGTAAAACCCACGAATTCGAATTTAAATTCAACTCTTTATTATGGGTAAATAACAAAGCTGATGCCTATTTAACCCCATAGGGTCTGTACACACTGGGTTCCGTTGGTAGTACAATTGAATAGAAAATTCTGACGTTCACTCACGGGTACTGAATAGTTAGCTGGTTCAATGCTTCATCCAGTTGTGACTTGAATAAATCGATGGTTGGTGCACAAACAAATTGAGGTGGAAGAGAGTTCCAGGTGTTACAAACTCTGAGGCTAGGAGAGTAACGCCTGCAGTCTAGCCGGCTCTTTCGGAGCAGAAGTTTAAACGGATGTCCTCGGAGGTGACCATTCCTGGATAGTTTTAATAGAGTACTACACGGGTGGTTAGGTAGATGTAGTGTTTGATAAACGAGGATCATGTCTCCCCGTATCCCAAGGTATTCAGACCAATAGAGTCCGAGAATTCGCGGCCTTTCACCGTAAGTCTTAGGTTCTAACCCTTTGACCATTTTGGTTGCTGTTCTCTGCGGACGTTCGAGTGCAGTTTGATCGCGATTCAGCCATGGATTCCAAGCCTGTATGGCATACTGCGTGTCTGGTCTAATGTATAGCCGGATCATGTCCATCGAGGGTGTTTCTGGTTCTATATCTGGTTCCGAGTTGATTAGTTTTATTATATCATCTGTTCATTAAGACGAAATGGAAAGTGCACGTAACAATATTCAACGAGCTTGTCAACTCGATCAAGAAGACGAAGAAGAAGAATGCTGGTCCTATGACCTACAGTGAGAACACTGAGGACATGCAAGTGCCCATGATACTCAAGAACCAGAGGACTCCTAAAGAAAGAACAAAAGGGTAACAACCCTTTTCCGACCAAACATTACCCAAAGTCGACCAGACTTCAATCTCAACCCACAGTCCTGCGAGCAAGTTGGATCGACAGGTATCTGAAGTCAACCAACGTAAGAAAAAATTTCGAGGCTGCGAAGCTTGGCTAACAACCAAAGGAAGTGACCACGGTATGAGGCGTTGGAAACATTTACATCCCCGTTATTTGTTGCGTCCAAGCCGAAAGAAAGTATGTGCGGAGATGCTGAGATTTGGTTTATTCTCCCCGATTCCCAACGTAAAACAATCGGCACAAATGTAGCATATCCGGTTGGTTTATCTTAAAGAACAAACGTGTGCAGGTTTTCAGTTTCACTTTTTACAACCATTAAACATGCATTTTCATGCGCCGGTTTTGGTTGCTGCCGATTGAGATGAAGAAGACGGAAAAAGACCGAAAAGTTCAAATTAGTTTCAAGATGAAAATACAGAATTCATGAGGACTGATAATGCAGGAAAACGAGCGCCACTGTTTATGGCACTCCAATTATGGGTTACGCTGATCCCGATTGGCCCATATCCGGAAAGCCTAAAGTGATCTATTTGAGCAAGTCCTTCGGACAAGGTTTTCATACCCTCATAACTGGCAATTCTCTATTTTTTTTTACTTATCATCTACCTCTGAAAGCCACGCACGCAGTGACAATCCATTTGGTGCTGTGCGCACCACATGCCCTAACCCATGCGGTCTATGGAGATCGACCGCTTGCTCCAATGGACGACCGTAATTACCCAAAACTCTGCGCCTACCTTTAACATTGCTTACCCGCGTGCCTCATCAGATCTGTGAAATGTGGCGTACACAGCGGTATTCGAAATCTGGGAGTCCATCTTTATATCGTTTTCATAATGGCCAACTATCTACGCGGTATGGGAAAACTGGCCGAACTGCTGGATCATACGCTCGACTCTTCACGGATATCCGACAGTCGAGACGGCGCCATAGACGTCTCAATTTGGCAAATGCCAATCGAGGCATTCGTATGCATGTCAACATTTCATCCGTGATGCGCCTATCGAGTGAGACATAGCAACATTTGTTGACTTTCTTTATAAATTTCCGGTCTAGAGTGAGATTAGAAGCTGACCCCACTTGGTCCTGTAACGACAGTTTACATTTTGGAGGTATTAAGTGTCAGTCGAACATTGTTGCACTAGTACTTAAACTGTACAGAACAGTTGGAAACCTACCCGGACCTTCACGTAGCGGTAAAATATTGTCAACATACTCCAAATCAGACGTTCTAAAAACTGGGAGTAAATCGACGTTACCAACCTCGCACCAGGATAGGGCTGTCTCCAGAACCGGATCCATTAAAAAGATGAATAAAAAAAGAAAAGAGCAACCCTGACGAACAACGATTTCCGTGGTGAACTCAGGTGAAAAAAATACCGGAAGCTCGAACTCGGCTTCGGTTATTAGTATAAAGAGATCGCAAAATTGAAACGAAATTCTCAGGTACGCCCTACAAAGCGGTCGACTGAGTTGAAAAATACTTTCAAATAGAAGAAGACAGAAATGTCAATGTTCTAGAATATAGCGAAGAGTTAGGTCAGCGAGGAGTTTAGAGACCATGATGATAAAACTAATTCCTCTGTGGTTTTTACAAGATGACCTATTACCTTTCTTGTAAATCGGGACAATGACCCAATCACACAACCCAGTTGGAATTTGTTCTTTCCTAAATGAGCCCCGGAGTTCCATCAACTCCAAAAACAAGACTGAACCTTCATCCTTAAAAACCGATGGGGACATCCCGTCAGGGCCGGAAGCCTTATATCTTTTGGGAGACCTTATTTCCGAGAAAATCTCCAGTATTGATATCAACCAGCAATATTTGCCCAGTTGAAGAAAGGGTTGATAGATCTAATATCGATAAGGACCAGTTAAACCGTACCTTCAAATGTTCCGCCCATCGCTCAAGACGGCGTTGCTGAATCAGTGCATCGTCGGATTTCCTAATTACTTTGCAGCTGCATCCCGTGGGCCCGTATTCTTAATTAAACGGAAAAAGTGCATCTGTCTCTCTTCATTTTGTTATCCGTTACTTCTGGCTCAGGCTCTTGATGAACTGGCGTTTAAGGGATTCATGTGCTGTGGCCTATTTGGCATTGAGAGGAATGACGCAGCCAGCGTCCATTAAGATGACTGAGGTTGAGGAAGTCTATCGTTTGGGTTTTGATCGGATACCATAATCTACTGTTGTTTTGATCGACACTTGGATAACTTCATTGATTTGTATCTAGTGGCCATTGAGTAATTCAGTGAATGGCTGAACTGAAAGTTGGAGAGAGAGCTCCTCTTCGGAGGCCGATCAGAAATTGTCAATTGCATGGGGAGTATCCGTTGCGGGCGGCCTTACTGCGATTGTTTACTTGATTTTGGGAGAATTTGGCTTGTGGCAAAGCATAGAAGGTATCCGTGGATATTGATCGGTGAGAGCGGCAATCTTCAATGGATCCCCGACAGCGGTACGCGATACCAATGTGGGCGATTATGGTCCATCGCTGCGAAGAGTTCAGGGGTTTTCATGTAAAGTGATTTCGTTTCTTGTGGGAGAAGTTGGTGCTCGATAGAAACAATCCATGGTCCGTGCAGAGTTGAATGAGGTGATCTCTGTTGTCCATCCGGTGGGCTGGGACTGCGTGCGGGCCACCTAGGCACCTTTCCGATTCGTCTACGGATCCACTTGACCGTCGAAGTTTCTAACGACCACTACAATGGCTACTGACTTCAGAGCAGTCGAGAAGGGTCGTTTATAAAATTCATCCTTTATTCCAAGCGTACTGTAATCAGCCGAATAAGTAGCTGCACTCTGTTTTGTAGCTGTGCGGTGCACAAACAGCTTTTAACAGAAATTCGGTCACGAAGTGAGCGTTCGGATTTGACACTTGGCGCAATCCTGATATCAGCAACACCACGAGTATTAGGCGCTGAATCGCCTGACACATGGAGATTGAAGCGTGAGGATAAGACTGAATCTGAAGAAGGTAGAGTGATAATTTGACGTACGCTTGTTTCGGCGAGGAAGTGTATATCAAAATGGAGAGTTTTACGGGTTCTGGCCAAAGCAGCTTATTAATCAACCTGATAGAGTAGTCGGACATGGAATGCAGCCAAATGAAGCAGATGTTTTGATTTTATCAATGCTATAGCTTTGATTGTTTGACTTAACTAGGTAGACGCTGAGTGGTATCCCATCGGTAGCGTAAACCGGAGGCATCTCGTACGATTTCGGAATGAGAGGAAGAACTAGATAGATGAGGGAGAGAGTTTTCCAGATGGGCGGTTTACACTGACGAGGGCAATTTTGGGGGGAAACCTTGACCAAAGCCTCCGACTTCAAAGCCTGACCCACAAGGTAGTCTGGTGTGGATCCAACGTGAGAGCATCACCAAAGCACCCATGTGGGAGCTTTTAGAGACCTATCAGGCAAGGGCTACAGTTCAATGTGTTGTTCGTTGGTGCGTTGATTGTCAGACCGCTGCTCGAGATCGGCCCTTTGGTGCATACATCCAATCAGACAGTCGGAACGTGGACGGGATAGCGCCTTATTGGCTGGGGCTGCCAAGTTAAAACAGGTGGTAGCTGTCCAATGAAGTGGAAAGACTTTTCCTAGCGTCGAGAAGAATCCCTCAAGTACCCCGGGTTCCATGTCCATCTAGTGGGTTTTTTCGGTAAACTGCCCATCTGCGTCTTTATTTTTTTGCAGTGACCTTTATAATATTAAGGCTAGGGAACTAATTATTTCTCCTTCGTGAGACACAGATAGATGTGGTTGCACACAGTTAAAATTCTTCCAAAGTAACTGGAAGTGCTCATGTTCCATGAGAATAAAAATATCGTCCATATGATGTTTGTGCAAGCCAGACTTGGAGCGTTTGTCGGTGAGCTTTTGTTCAATGAAAATCCTCGAAAGCTACGGGCTACGGACCCTCATCCTGATCGTCGCAATGGCACCAGTTATTATAATTCCATAAGGCGGTGCCTAAACGAGGATAATGGTTTATTATGAATAATGATCAGGGTATCAGTAAACTGGCATGTATACAACTAAATGTCTCATTTGGAACGAGTCTTCAGAATTTCCATAAGCACACAGGATGGTTGATAGAACGGTCCAACAACAGATGCGCATTCCTGCAGTTACCGTACTGAGTGCAGAAATTCGCTCTAACAGGTCTTGTTCATTTCTGACAGTTGAAAGAACCCACCAATCGCGTTACTCACAAATATGAGTAGTATCTCACAACATTAGTGCCGAAAGTGACTTAAACCGCTTGGCCACCACCATCCACATGAATCTATACGCTCCAAAAATTGACCACTGTTCGTGTGGCTCAAGGTCGAACGGTCAGACCAACAATTCGAAGGTCAACAGTTCGAGTTTCGGTAAGGAAATAAAAAACGACCAAAATCAAACTGAGGAAGAAACAAACAAATGCATTTTATCGACCATACCATACCATTTTGAATGAAGGATATTTTCTCGCGTACTATTTAACGAACCTATAATAGAATGAAGGATCATGTAGTTTTTATTTTCTGAGTGTATTGCTCGTCATCTTAACTTAAAGGTAAAAAGAAGCTCAATAGTATAGCGTCAAGAGAAATCATAACCGCACAGCAATAGTGAGTAAACTCCAAAACTTACATCACGTGGCTGCCACACAAACAGCGAGTCATGTAGCAGAACAAGTAACCGAGTATAAGCAGTCGGACCCGATAAGAAAGATAGACGTCGTACACCTGTGGTGTGTACAGTAGCGGCTGACAGTGCTTTGAGTGCCATATCGGCCGGGCATTCGGCAGACGAGCTGCTTTGGTTATCCGACCCGGTACTAACCAAACCCCATCCGCCACCGGAATTGAATCGGACGAGCGTCTTTTTGTCATGCAAATCGCGAAGAGCCACAAAACCGTCTGCTGTACCGAATGCAATCAAATCGGCAAACCAAGCG